CTGTGATAATTAGGTTTTGATCTATTGTGACATTAATGATCACAATCAGTTGACTTTGAAATTGTCTTAATTAATGGCTCTTCCCTTGTAGGCTGCCTCCAGTACAGGTCTGTCCCCTCCCCCACCTCCTTGTTTTAACTCCTTCTTCAACTGACCTCAGAAACAAATAGCATTAGAGGATCTCTTTCTTTTCCTTAACTAAGATCTTAAAATTATTTTAAAACATTTCTCTGACAGAGGGGGCAATGAGATGATGTTAGGTGGAATGAGGAGCAGGATGAAAAGGCAAGAGCATGCTATGAACAGGAAAAATTCCATCTTAGAAAACAATCAAAGTCAAGCATGATATTAAAGTGGCAATGACAAGCTGAAGTAACTCTAAGAGACAAGATGAGGTAGATTAAAATTCTAGCACAAGCAAAAAAGAAACTAGAATTATTTTTATGAAGCTATCCAAATTACCTTCACACTTTAATTTTCCAGAAGTTACTCGAATTCCTGGGAACTGACTTCCAGTTAGCCAACTCTCAATTATCCAGGCAGAGAAAAGTGTCTTTTTCTTGTAGTCACATGGGTCAGAAGTAAGATATTTCTTAAGGTTAGATTGTTTCTTAACTGGTCTCCACCTCAACTTAGCTCTCCCTGGGCTTGATTAAATATGAAACTCCAGGATGTGTGTATTTCTGGAGAGATTTCCAAATAACTGACACATCTCTACTTAGAGGCCACCATCTTGCTGTCGAATAAAACTACATCTCTCAGAAGACACACAGATGTTAACAGATGAGCCCCCAGTCTTTTAGCAAATCTCTTATTATTGGAAAGCATGTCCCAGTTTTGGGCTTTAAGCCAGTCTCCTGGTAATTCCTCCAAAAGGGACAAGAAACCGCAAAAACTGTGAACAACTTCCAGGACATGCCCCGGGGGGAATAAATGTTAATAGCAACATATATGGTATCCGCAACAGTTAAGACTTTGCACAAGGAGTCACTGTACCATTACATACTTTGGCAAAGAGCCTAAAATGGGGACTAAAATCAGGGGTTCTCTCTCAATCCCCACTCACCTGTTGTTTACTCTCTCGGCAGCATTTTAACTGACCTTCAGTTGTCTCTACTTTCTGGAATAAATTAAGCCCTTGCTGTGGTCTCTCTATGGCCAGTTAGCTCGGTTCATCCAGGACCATAGATCTTGTCCACATATGAACCAACTGTCATCCTCCTACTCCAGGGCCATGAATTATTCCAACATCAGACAGCTGTCACTGCCCCCACATCAGAAGCGTGTACCCATTTACAGCATTTATTATACTGAACTATCAATAGTCAGTTTATTCCACAGCATGAAAGTTCTTCGTGGTCAGGGACGAAAAAGTGTTTCCCGAATGAAATGAATATTGATGTAAACTAATGTGGCTGGATATGGATAGCTCAATACAAATTCACCACTATTAATTGGGTGGTGGTAGAGGGGACCCCCCAATTCAGAGTACATGCTCTTGGGTGCAAGGCTAGTAACGTTTCTATTTTTGAAAACATAATTTTCATGCTTAGTAAAGCTGCCATGAAACTGGAGTACACTGGGTCCTCTCTCTGCCTAGGCACAGGTAAGCCTGCTTGGTGGTCGTCTGATGACAACGGTTCAGAGACCTCAATACTACACTTTCCATTCTAAAGATCTAAACCAAAAGGACAGTGTCATGGGTACAGAATGAACTTTTCCTTTGACCCATGTGGAGACAATTTCCACATTTTAAATCTAATGGCATAACCCTTCCTGGGGTTCTCGTGTTATTACAAAGTATTTTAGGCTCTTGAATTCAAACCCTAAGGGTAAAGACAGTCATTCCCCAGCCCCTCTTGACCCTTCACTGTACCTCTGTTGAGCTGAGCTAAACCACAGATTCAAAATCAAAAGATGAAAATCCCAAGCACCTTCCCCAAGGCCCAATGATCTGGCCTGAAGACAAGGAAAATCAACTACAGGGTGGCTATAGAATAGGAATGAAGAAAAGTTAAAGAAGAGTCTCACTGCTCAAGCTATAGAAACACGACCTACCTTCCATCAACAGAAAGGATGACACAGACGTGGCTGCGGAACAGCCAGGGGCCAGCGAGACCTTTGAGTTTGTTAAGCAGCACCACAGGCCCAAATGCTCCCAGGAGCAGACAGGAGGGAAAACGACCTGGCACTCTCCAAGTTAAAAATGGGTGCTTCTGTTAGGGCTGATGCCCCTAACAGCTGAACTGAATGTTAGGGCATCTGTCCAGCTCAGAGCTTTAAAAACTGGCTACACTGACTTTGGCAGACCCCCGTTGGGCAAAACTCTCTATATTCGGTGGGAGAGATCCTGAATGTCGATCACTAAAAGAAATTCAGCATATAAAAACGTTTTAAAAGAGGACGAAACACAGGAAAAACATACTTCGAGCACCTGAGACCTAGATATTTAAGACCACTTATAGCCCATGTCTATTATCTCTTCTGAGAGGAGAAAGCCCCACGAAAACAGGTTTCCGTTGGAGGCTGCAGTTCTCCAAGGGCCAGGACAGTTACTCAGCACTAACAAACGCTGGAGTCACAGGCAGGCTTCTGGCTTCCTTTCCACCCAAGACTGCACTTACTATTGGCCTCTGGCTCCCTACATTCCTATAGAAGCTCATGGGCAAACAGAGAGGGACAAAAGTTGTTTTGGTGGTAAACACTCAGTACAAGACCATGATTTTCTGTGGACAGAAAATGAAGTGAAGAGTAAAGTATACAAGGAGTGACGAGTAAATGATACTGGGATTATTTTGTTAAAAGAAAACCAAATTTTTATGAGTCTCTTAAATAATACCTTTATCCACAGCAGCCATGAGACACAGAGGTTTCTCAGGACCAATCTCAATATGAAATACATTTGTTCTGGTCTTCATCAACATGCTAGATTCTGGTTTTAAAAAATATGGTCACTGTGGTTTACACGCCCACTGCTCCTGGGGTTCACACTGGCTACCTGGAAAAGCTGTTCTTTCCTCTACCTGCTGGCCTACTGCTGTCCTGTACATGTCTACCCTAATTGATATCCTGATTACTTGAATATCCAATATTTCTAGACCATGCTTGCTTGCTTTCAGAGGTCTATCAGATTAAGTACTAACAACTGTCAGTTACCCAGCACTTGATCTAGGCCTTTAATTCCTCCAGAGAGTAAAGGACCATGGAGATAAAAGACTCCCACCTAGCTGAGGTATGGGTTATGAGTTCTCACCCCATCACAATACCACCGATAAGGATTTTCCTGGATGACTTACACCAAAAGCATCATTGTTCCAGTCTGTCATGTCACTGCAGCAACAGCTGTCTTCTCAACTGTGCAGTATAATTTTTGACATAATTTATACAAGCACACAGAATTCAATCAACAGCTGAGCAGGGAAGCAGTGTTAACCAATGCTATGAATGGGTGTAAGATTTGCATATTATTTGGCTCATCTGTGGACTGGAGCACTCTATCCATTTCCCTCATTACTCTGAATAATCTAGAAATGGTTGAACGCTCCTGATCAGACAGCTATATGTTTTAAAAGTCAAAAGCAACAACAAAAATAACCTCAATGGCGGTGAACTTTAGAGTTAAGGCTATTTCAAGCATTTATTCTTATTTCCTCAGCCTTGGGCTGAGACAAAGATGCTCAAAACCCTGCTAGTCCCTTACTTTTAGTCTTGATTCTCTAGCCCTGTCCCTCTCTCCCCCTGGAAAGGGCAGAGAAGGAGGGCATTTGTTAGGGGACAAAGTCAGAGGAAACAATGAGGAAAATCATCCCTCAATGTAACGGCAAAGCAAGAAGAAGCCAAATGGGAAATATTTTGCTGAGAAGTGAGAGAAGGTTGTGGCGACATGTTAATGCCAGGGCCTGTCACTCTCTGAGGTGATAATCTTCCATAGAAAGATACAACTAAGAGTTTACGGGTGGAAAAGGGAAGAGCATTAATACTTTGGGGACTCTTGGTGGCAAATCCAGGAGTCAACAAAGCAGGAAATTTACGACTATAAACACTAAGAATATTCAAAATTGACATTGTGGCCAATGGCTCCCTTCCAAGAATTCCCCACTGAAATAATGGCATGGAGAAGAAACTTGGGTCCACTGAGAAGTGAGGGTCAGGTCTGAAGCCTCTTTGGTAACAGGAATGCTTTGGGAGGCCACAAAAGTTGGCAGGGTTGGAGGGTGCCTAGCACCTTGGCACAAGCAAGCACCAGGCAGTCATTCACACCTACATATATATATAGTCCAAACATGAGGGATGAAGGAAATAACACACATATACCATATGTGCTAATAAAGACCATTGCATCCTACCCCATCAACCTCACGTACTAATAGCTATAAATCTCCACCATTAATAATCCTGTCATTTCATGACAGACTGCACCACCTTGCAGAAGCAGAAATCAGGGATTGCTAAGGAACAAGGCCAAAAGTTACGGGGCTATGAGGAGTGCCTTGACGAGTTTCAATGTAAAATTTCAAGTCCTCCAAAGGACAGAGCTATTCTGGGAGAATGGGTGAGGATGAACAGAGGGTGGTCCAGAAGACCACACCAGGAACCCTGTATTCTCCTGGGTACAGTGGAATGAGGGTGAGAAAGCCCCAACAGGTAGGCAGTTGCTATTGGCTTTTTAAAAAGATGGGCAACGACTTTTCCATCCCAACACCTCAAAACAAAGGTCATCAACATGTTCTAAAATCCAAAACAAGAAACCAAAATTTATCATAATTGCAACAAAACCTCCCAATCTAAAATGCAACCAATCCTGAAAAGATCAAGACTCTAAGGTGATTAAAAAGTTAAAATTCATCTTGAGGTCACAAGGGAGAAGGAAGAGATTAGGGCAAAGGAAAAAATTGTGGGACTTACACACAGTATGTAAAGGCCTGATCTTCACAGAGAAACACTTATCATGAATCAGACCATCAGTTATGTTACAAGAGAACCAATACCAACATTTCTCCTGTGGAGCACAGTGATAAGCACATTTTTTATGGATGTGTTTAGGGAAGAGGGGGTGGGAAGGAGGGAGAAGAGGCAGGGAGGTGAATGTATTATATACAAAGAGAAATGACAGAGACCACCCTTCCTTTAGCTCTTTGCTGTTTCTTTCTCTTTGTTTTCCGCATCCTCAGGGTACGCATGCCACGTCAGTCTCTCTTCATAAAATGCTATCACAATCTGTGGACATTTTACATTAGCTTCTTTTGCAAGAACCAGGTCTGCTTCATCTGTGTCTTTCCTGGAGAGAAAGAACACAAGATTTAGAAAAAGAGGAATTTAAGAATGAGCCTGTCCAATCATAGCTTTATGTCCATCATTAGCTGGATTTAGCTGACTTGAGTTCGTTTACCTCCTGACTTCAAAGTCGAAACGGGCACTAACTGTTCAGTACCTCCTAGGAGAAATTTCAGTGTAAGAATTATATTAGCGGATATCATTTAACTACTCCATCAGACAGAAACACGTTTCCAGCTAGAACTTAGATACAAAACAGCAGGCTTAATTGAAAATACTGAAAATTAAATTGTATTAACTCTGCTTCCATAATTTTTATTTTTTGTATGAACACGTGAGTCAACACAAGGAAACTTACATTCAGTCCTACTGATTAAGCATAAATTAAGCAAGCCAGTATCTAGATCACCTAAACAAAATGGTTCTAACCGCCTCATCTTGCGGCCTTTAAAACACTCATTGTCTTCTTGGTGAGAAATGGAACAGTAAGAAAACAGAAATTCAGGTTACAGCAACATTACTTCTAAAAGGGAGAGTAAAGGACAATGCAGAATCTAGTGCTAAAATGAAAAGCAGGAGTTAGCTGCAAATATCAATTATCCAAGTTACACGAGCTACTATGAAATAAAACTAAAAAATCTAGCTAGTTTCTTAACCAGGATTCCAAATTAAGAAAAAAAAAAAAATTAAGTTACAATTCCACTGACAACTTCCTCCTTTTCTAGAGAACCGAGATGTTCAGTTCACAGAGGTATTATGGGCGAGCGGAGGAGGGGTGAAAGACGCGGCTTTGAGTGGCTACGCAAATTTGGACTGTGTTGCAAAGATAGTTAATATGTGCATGTAAATCCTAAGTCACACATATGCTGAGTGGGAAAAGCAGTCACTATAGCTCCTTCCTTCTGACAGACTGGTGATTCTTCAAATGCAGGCTTCTAAGTAATTTACCAACAGAATTTCAATCAGATGAAATATTAAACTTTAGAATAATACAATTTTTAAGGTAATTAACTTCCTTAGTGGCACTGTAGCATGAACCTTCTATTTAGAGATGAAATTTAAATCACAAGCCCAGAACACTTGGGAAGAGAAGTAATGAGCGCCACACCGTAAATCACCCCGTCTTTAAGTAACCAAATTGTGGGGAAGTAACTACGCTTTCCTCTAAGAGCTATTCCCTCTACCGGATGAAATAACTTGTGCTTTGGCCAGTATTAGTCTTAATGTTCTTTGTTGAGATTCTTTTTCTCTTGGAGACATTACTCAGTGGTCTTGGTGCTTGGTGATGGCAGAAAGCCTCACTCAACTCCCACCCCATGGCCACAGGCGCATAGCCTGACGGTAAATGATTCAGAACTGTGTAAATAAATGGTTAGGTCATGTTATAGGCTTCCTACCTCAAATCTAACCCTTTCTGGTAAATGGGCTAATATAATTTGGCTTAATGCTAAAACTTGAATGTATTTAAGACATGTCTAAATGTCCTAAATACATTCAAGTTTTAATCCTCAAGAATTAATCTTAATTCCCATTAATACTGACAGTTGGTATCGGGTAAAAGACACACAACAATCAAAATTCTTAGGAAATACTCAGTCCTGCCATCTTATCTTCCAAACAAATTTAGGTCACTGACAAAGAAACATAATTACAGCATGAGATACAATGTCTCTCACCATTTCATTAGGAACATTAAATCACCACAGGAATCTGTCGCCCCAATGATCTTTTCTGGTTCCAGTCCTCTCTCAAAGCCCCGAGCGATATCATTGCTCTGCTATAAATAGGAGATGAAGAAAGGTTACAGCTTGGGGAACAAGAAACCCGTTTCTCAGTTCAACAAAGTACAACTGAAGTTACTATCACCTGATAGCATTTTTGTCACCAATTCATAAAATTCTTAGAACTTAAGGAATACAACACTGGGTAGGTCTTTGACAGTGAGATCAATAGGTATTTTTACAAAATGTCGTTGTCCTTTCAGTATTCCTACAAAGGATTAGACGTGTCTCCCAGCTCTTCAACATCCCACAACATATTCTGGAGCCATCGTCTAAGAAACTCCTCTGTTCTATTCTTCCCAACATTGTAAATGGTCTACCACTAGGCCGTAGCTCCTGAGATGAGAAACAAGTCCAGGTTTACTCCAATTAGACCCTTTTCCACTTATAAACTTCAAACATACCGCCTTACTCAATTTTAATTTTTTTAGACTTTTCGTTCACCTTAACGATGGTCAGCTTGTAATAGTGCTTTTCACAATCATCAACATTTATGAAAGAACAGAAGAATGATTGAAGGGATTACCAAAAGACACAAATTTCTTTCAGCAATACCTATTGCTTGCAGAAGAGGCCCTGCTCTGTATGCAGGCCCTCCTGACGTGGCCAAGCAGCTGGTATTAGAGGGCAGAACTGGCCAGCGGTTTTAAAAAAACAAACTGAGAATTCTCTGGGGGATTTTTCAAACTTGGTGAAAATGCAATCATGCATCTAGACAAGGAACACAGGGGTTGATTCAGGTACCAGAGCCAAACAGTGACATTTTATACAAACCAGGTAATTATAAAAAAACTTAATATTATGGAGGATAATGAAAGCTTATCTAGTGGCAACACACACAAGATTGAGAGAGACTGCGCAAATGAACAAAATCTCTGATGCCTGATTTCATAATAAAATCTCTTTGATCTGACATTCACCTTGTTTTCTTCTGAGAGATGCAAAGCATTCAAGGTCCAGGTGGCCCCCAAAGATACCAGAACCCATGTTGGGGAGGAAATTCCATGCATGGCCAGGGGGAAATACTGCCTCAAAACATAGCCTCTTTTGGGGGCGCTTAAAGGGAGGCGGTTCCCAGATGTGCACACAGCTGCTCACAGCTGGAATGCTGGCGCATGGACTGAGTCGTAAATCATAGCTGGCGGCTGAAAACAGTTTGCCACATAGGGAGGGAAGGAAAGAAAAATGTTCAAGCTGCTGAAAAGGAGCCGAGGCGAGGAAAATGCTAAAATCATCACACAGGCAGTAATCTTAAATCAGGCATAATGCCTGACTAACAAATTTCTTCTGCAATGGTCTAAAGAAAGAAACTCAATCCCCTCCTGTACCTTTAAAACATACAATCACCCATCTTCCCAGCTGCCTACCTGACAGGCGCCAGCACTGCTGAGAATGCTGTCGGGGGCCCCAGATGCACATTACAATGTAAAGGACATGTGCGGGTTGCTTTCAAGGCTGGCAACATCAGAACCTGGCCTAGGAATGAGAAACCCTGCACTGGCCGGTGGCTCTCAGCCAGACCGCTCCTTTGAAGAAGGACAGAAACCTCAGGGTGAGGAAATACACACTGCATGCCACCAGTGGCTAGTCAGAAGTCTTGCACTATGCTTGCTTTTACTCTCTTTCCTTAGCTACTTGGGCAGAAAATGAATCAAATGACAAAAGCCAAATACAAAGAACTACAAAAAAAAAAAAAGAAGAAAGAAAAAAACCCCAAGCCACGGCTCCTTAGAGAAAGCATTCTCAAATTCCTATCAGCACAGTGTATCATAATAATATACAGACCTCCTCAGAATAGGACAGCTTTAAGAATAAGGTTGTGGAAAATAAAATTAATCAGGGAAACAAAGACACACACACACACACACACACACACACACACATGCAGTGTCCACTTTCACTTGCAGCCTCCAATCTTTCATTCTTATTTCAATTCTTTTTAGAAAGCTGGTCTCTCTTTACCCTCCTACAGAGATTAAGAATCACTTGTGTAAATCCTTATTAAATACTCATACCCAGGTACAACCAGTAAAAATTAGAATTTAACTGGTCTGGAGTACATCTTGGGCACTGGAGGGATTTTAAGTCCCTAAGCTCCACACTCCTACTCCCTGGGACTGTAGCGTGGAGCCAGGGCTGAGAGCAATGCTCTGAAAAGATGGGTATCCACGAAAATTGACACCAAACATGAATGCGTACGGCGTGGTGCTAGACGATTAAGAAGCAATTTATGCTTAATTTTATTAAACTTTAAGGGTGTGATACATTCTTCACCATAAAAGGTTTCACAACCTTGAAGTAAAAGAAAATAATGGAAATTGGGGGTTGCGGTGTGTGTATGTACACAGATGGAAAAGCCATAGCTGAAAAGAGAGGCAATAACTGCAAACGAATCAACTCAAAATTTCACAAACGCACGTTCAAAACTGAACAACAAAAAGATTCCAAAGGAAGACGAAAATTAATTTCTTATTCAGAATATGCAGAAATAATAGGATCTAAAGAAAACATACATGCCACAGAACTGTATACTTCAAAATGGTAATGTACGTCAGGTGAGTTTCACTCATTTAAAAAAAAGAATATAAAGGGCTGAAGGGTTAACTTTGGGAGAAAAAGAAAAAGTGAAGTGGCAAGCATTTTAAAGCCCCTTTTCATTCTCAAAAAAGTTCACTGTAGTCCCTCCCTCTCTAAGATAACTTAGCCTTCTTTTATGGAGAAGGCAGAGAGGAGCTGAATGTTTTGTAGGGAGTGTTAGCACCCTAATATCAACACAACTCAGTAGACATAACATTCATTTCACACTCAGCCAGGAGGGGGTGCTATAGTTAGTCAACACAACTTCAGGAGCTCTTTTGTTGCACCTTATAGGTCATACACACAACAGAAAGAACCCAAATAAATGTGTATTGACGTGTACAGAACAGGTGATGAGAAAAAGGAAGCTTACCTCTCTCTTTTTTTTGGATTTGATATCATCCGCACTATTGGAGAAATTGGATTTCCTCTTGTTACTTTCTGACTTCTCCCTGGGTTTGTTATTTTCACCTTCCTTCATCTTCTTATACTTTTTCATAAACTCAGAAATTAGCTCAGGGCAATCCAAATTCTTCTCAGGTTCCCAAGTATTGTGCTCCCTGGGCAAGAAGGGAGAAAAGAGAAAAGAATGAGGAAGAAAGTACAATGCCTAATTTTAAAGAACCAACAAGCGAAAAGGAAAGAAATCTACAGGAGACAACAAATTTCATTAGAGGAATCAACCCAAGGAAAATGAAAAAAATATGTCCACAAACAGACTCACACACTATTTTTTATGGCAGCATTTTAACAGCCAAAGAAAACAATCAAATATCCATCAGATGGTGAATGAATAATGTGGTATATCCATTCAATGGAATACTATTCAGTAACAAAAAAGAACAAAAATACTGATACATGAGACAAAGCAGAAGAACCTCAAAAACATACTAAGTGAAAGAAACCAGGCGCAAAAGATTATATACTGTCTAGTTCCATTTATATGAAATGTCTAGGAAAGACAGACTGAGAAACTTTTGGAAAGCATAACAGTGGTTCCTTGGGGCTGGGACATGGAATTAACTACAAATGGGTTGAAGGGAATTTTGGGAGGTTATGAAATGTTCTAAAGTGGAGTGTTGGTGATGACTATACAACTCTATAAATTTATTAAAAATCAATGAATTGTACACTTTCAATGTATTTTAGGGTATGTAAATTACACCTCAATAAAACAGTTAAAAACTCAAATTTGAATTCTGCTTTACAAGTAGTTCAATTGTGATTTCACACATGTAATTATCTATGCAAATCCTAAAGATAACAATTTAACATTCATCCAACCCTAGTTTACATTCTAAAATATAAAATATATTATTTTTTTATTATATTTTGAAGAAATGTCAACAAATGATTGGAGGATTGGAAAGTTACATAGAAAAAAGGGAAGATCTTAAATCATTTGAATATAGCAAACCGTAAGGACAGGACTCAGAAGTGGAATTTAATACACTGGGCTCATCTATTGTCAATGGTAGTCAAAACACACTTTTATATTAATAAGGAAAAAACCCTCAAACTGAATAACTGGATCTAATTACACTTGGATCAAGGAAGTAGTACTACAAGGAAAATAAACTGCTGGTATTCACAAAGTTGTCTGTTCCTGGCATGGTTTTGTTTTTTTGTTTTGTTTTGTTTTAAATGCTTTTATTTTAAGATCCTGGGGGCAAACATTTATAAACTTAGTTTTATTTATATATTTTTTAGGATTTATTTTATTTATACAAGAACTGGGATACAGGTCAGAGGCACCAGAGGGTGAGAGAATTCACCAGAGACAGAGCGGGGAGAAGAACAGGCAGATGGACCAAAGACATTGCTGAGGGGAGCAGTGGGTGAGACAGGAGAGGTCTGCCACACCATGTGGGTTTCTCCCTGGCCGGCTGGGAATCGAACTCACGCTGCAGAGGCTGCGGACAGCTTCACAACACTGCACTCAACCTACTGTGCCACCGGGGAGGCCCATGTTTGCTTTTTTTTTTTTTTTTTTTTTTAAAGATTTACTTATGTATATAAGAACTGGGGTACAGGCCAGAGAGGTGTGTTGGGTGAGAGGATTCACCAGAAACAGAGTGGGGAACAGAACAGGCAGAATAACTGAAATACACTGCCGAGGGGAGCAGCAGGCAAGACAGGAAAGGTCTGTTGCGCCATGTGGGTAGCTCCCTGCCTGGGGATCAAACTCATGCTACAGTGGCTGCGGACAGCTTCACAGGTTGCGTCTTAACCCCTTGCACCACCAGGGAGGCCCCCTGGCATGGGTGTTAAAAAACAAACCACCGAGTGTATGGTAAGTTTATGGATTCAAAGGAAGCAACGCACCTATGCAGGAAAAACTAGACTGGCCATCTCTTTGTTCCTAGCCAGCAGCTGGTTCTTTTGGTTTTATATATAGTAAGGTCTAGTTTACATTAGATACTTTGTATACTATAGAAGTGTTTTCTATAATCCCTTAATTGATTTAGGAAAAAAAATCTTTCCATTTATGTACTATTCATTCCAGATACGTTTTTAGACATTTGTTTTTTTAAATAAGGTATCTTTAGATGGAAGGGTTTGAACACATGTCATAACGATTCAAATAGGGAGCAGAGTGATGGAAGCAATCTTATATATACAGTAGACTTACATAACTTTCTGTAAAGGGAGCTTAATTAAGCACAAGACAATTTCATTTCTAAATCATTTGAGCTAGAAGTGGAAAGCTTCTCCTTCATAGACCTTATTGTATCAGAAAAAAACCTGCTTATACATTAACTTTCCCCCAAATCGACAGACTACGCAGTTGGTTGTCCCAGAAGAAACTGAGGCACCAAAATCAAGAGATGTGCCAACATAAACAAGTAGACTTGGGGGTAGGAGTCCCTGTTGATAGCAAGGAAAGTCAATTCTTTAATGGGATTACCCCTTTTTTCTACCCCCCAAAATAACATAGTATTATTTAAAAGAGTCTGGGCTTTAGGGTCAAAGAAATCTGATACTGGATCTTATTCCAGCACTTACCAGTTATGTGATCTTCAGCAAATAACTTCACTAATTTCCTCACCTGTTAAACTGAAAAATACCTCTAAAGGCTGTTAAGAGAATCAAAGAGAACACACGTGGTGGATGTGACTACTGCCTAACAAATAGTCGTAGAAATGCTGACGGTGCAAAATTTGGTCCAGTCTCTCATGAAGCCCTGGGTATTTTTGACAAAATAAAGACAAATGTTTATTAATCCATCTTACCCCAAGCCCAGTCTTTCCCTCTTTTATCTATGCTAAGATACTAGTAGTTCAACTACCGATATAAATGCTTCAAGCACCCTCAAAATTACCAAGTATTTTCTATGGTGATTCAATGGGTCCAATAAACACCCTTAAATCTTTAGGTTTTACTTTAATTCCTATTTCAGTGGTCTAGCTCTTTCAAACTCATTGCTGTCATCTCCAGAGGATGATGTGATACCACTCCTCTTTAGAACTATGGAGGATATATTCTGATAGCTGTGCGACCGGCACTTACTGCTGTGTGCTAGACACTAAGCATCCTGTAGTGCACACACTGCCCCACCTAAAATACCGGCAGTGTTCCAGATGGTTCATGTGATGAGATCATCTTACCTATGCTCTCAAGGCGCCTGGTTTGTACCTTTATCCAAAGGTACTATCAAAACATTGAATCTCTTCGCATATTTAAAGTTTTAAAGCTGTGATATTAATATGGCCACGACTAAGCACATGTGGCTAGTTTGAACTGAGATGTGCAACAAAATACCAGATTTTGAAGACTGAGCATGAAAAATAATGTAAATGATTTCATTCTTTTTTTTTTTTTTTTTTTTTTTTTATAGAGGCATGTTTTATTTATTTATTTGTTTGTTTGTTCGTTTGTTTCGTTTATACATGCACTGGGTACAGTCAGAAGCACAGGAGGGTGAGAGAATTCACCAGAGCCAGAGCGGGGAGCAGAGCAGGCAGAAGGACCGAAGCACACTGCTGAGGGGAGCAGCGGGCGGCAGGAGAGGTCCGCGCGCCATGTGGGACCCTCCTCCGGTGGCCGGGGAGCAGCCGGGGATCGAACCGGCGCCGCAGAGGCTGCGGGCAGCTTCGCAACCCAGCACTCAACCGCTGCGCCACCGGGGAGGCCCGATTTCATTCATTTTTTATTAAAATGTTTATTGATATTGAAGTATTATTTTGACCTAGTCTAGTGCTATCAGTTCACTGGGGTTCTGAGCAATCCATTCTTTGTTATCAGGCATCCTAGTGAGACAAAGGGCAAGAGAATCAGAAACTGAGGCAAAATGTCTAATGACTACACACACTTCACGTACTTCAGTTTTCAAGCTACCTCTTCTGTGTGCCTAGCTCTACTTGTTCCAAAAGAAAGAATCTATATTTTAGCACTTCAGCATAAAGTCAGTTTTGGGCTACCAGACAGTCTAGTCAACACTGCAGTATCGTTCTTAAAGCTCCCTGACCTATAGCTAAGATTCCACTTAATTTATTTGGCCTCGGTCACATATTTTAAATTTTTAAAAATAAAATGTTGGTGGGGGGGAGGGGGGATGTGGTCTCAGATTTAAGTCTCCCATTAATGAGTGCTTCATGCTAGGGCACTTCTGAGAACCAAGAATCACTTTGGAAACCTATGGGATTGAACATAATGTCCACTTTTGCTAAATTCAGGTATCTTAACTTAGTTATTACATGAATAGTAACAGTTTACAAGCTTATGTGTCCGCTCTATCCATCTACCTAACATCTCTATGACAAGTGCTATTTCTTATCCGTATTTTACTGAGGAGAAAAAAAGATTAAGGAAGGTAAGCAAGGTCATCTAGAGCTCATAAGAGGCAGAGCAAGAATCTGGACCCAGGTCTATCCTCCTAGCCAGTCATTTCAGTGCCTCTGAAAGCATTATCACAAGAACACCAGCCACAAGTAGACTGTTTAATTTATTGTTGTGTCTTCTGAACAGTAAGAAAGCAGTGCAGGTTGGGAAAGGAAAAGTCAAAGATGGAGGTAGTTCATGAGCAAGTAAAGCAAAAGTGTCTCACTCTGCAGAATTCTAAAGCCTAAGAGAAGACACTTACTCAGAAAATCCTTTCCACTTCAGTAGATATTCCACTTGCCCCTTAACCACACGCCTGTCTAGCACCTTCTCCACAACGTATTCCTCCTCATCCTCTGAAGATGAACTATCGGCTGTCCGCTTGGTTTTCTTTCCCATGTCGCACTCTGTTCCACCTGAAGGACTAAGTCCACCAGGTTCCTGCAAGTGGGAAGGACAAAATGGTCAGAATCCACGTAAGGAGCTCAGACTTTCTGCTGCTTCTTGATGGGGTACAGGGGTCTAACCCAAAATTGCCACGTACCCTTCTCGTGGGTCTTGAAGCATTCTATGGATGAGTCTTAAGAGTTTAATAAAAAAAAAATGGGTCAGTTCCCACCTTCCCAACCACAACTTTCTCTTCAGCTAACAAACCAAAAGTATTAGATGGTGCAATGATCTAATTCTCCTAATTTCAGATTCCAAGACAAGCAGTGTTGTATGTTACTCCCGGCTACTTAATATCTGTTTATAAGCCAGGGACTCAAAAGAAAAATGTGGAAAACCTTTATTGAAAAGGACCCACAACAGAGTGAAAATCTCCCCCCTCAAGGTGAATAAGATTCTTCATAAAAATGAAAAGAGAAAAGGCACCAAAATGTAATGCACCTTTGCTCTGAGCATCTATCTTGCTTGACCAGCCTCCTAAGAGAGCAGCACAGAAAAAGCCCGCTTAGGCATCTCTGCAGGCTTGCAGGGAACGGCACATTTCCCTTAAACAAACTGAACTTGTGCCTTTAGCGCTTCCATCAGCTCACAAAAGCTAGGCTGACATCGAAAACACATTAACTTCTCTTTCATTTGATGATGGGAGGGAAGTGGGGAGGAGAAAATTTTTTTTTTTAGTCCTAAAAGTCCAAATTAGTCTTTAGACTGTTCAGCAATTCTCCAGGCTCAACTAATCCAAACAGTTCAGAAGGTACCTCTCCCCTTCACAGAAGTTGACTTTGGGCCAAAGGAAGAGGAGGAGGAAAGAAGTCTGGCCCCAGACTCACATCAGCATGAAGCCTCAAAACACAGAGGAACCATTCACAGGCCCAAGGAAAGCTGAAGCAAGGCAACACAAATGGAAATTGAGTTAAGCTGAGAAATATGCACAACCAGGGGGTACTCAACAGAGAACCTAGTTTTTCAAATTTCTATGTTGTTACCATAATCATTTTTAAGAATTCTTTCCTAACCATGTTAAATGGTGCCTACAGTCTGAATTTTAGAGGGATAGGAACTGTTTTCTTAGCTGAACTCCATTTTTATTTTGCTGTAGTCTTCCAAGGATTTTTTTTCTAACATACTCTATTTCCATCCTGACCAGAAGATCATTCCCAGGATTAGGGGAGGCCACTAATCTCAGAATTGTTCAAGTGACATTTATCAACACACCTCCAATTAGCAAAATTGCTGGAATTATTCCAAGTATAGTTGAAATCCCTATCGGCAGAACTTACTAGCAATAGGTCTGGCCACCAAAAGAAAAGAAAAAAACAAACCCTGTTTATACCAATCACTGCCCTGTAATAAAATCAAGTTTTCATTAAAACACTTTATTGGGCTGAGGGGGTGTAAGGGAGAATGTAAGGTTTCAAAAGAATTTCTCCACGAATTTTGTAGAGTCCTAGGCTTCAGGAAAAAATGATTTATTTCAAATAACAGGCTCCGACCTCAGCAGAGACAGGAAATGTCATATTCCAGGGAGAGCGCCCCACCCCCCCCACTCACCTTGGAATTTCCGGGAGCTGCGCCGCCCAGGTCGGAGCGCGGGGGTTAAAACCAGCCCCGGGTTAGAGGCGCGCAGTTAAGCATTGTGGCTGTGGCCTCCCCTGCCTCACAGGAAAAACAAGGATTTACATATGTGTTCTTCAGTTTGAGGGAGAGAAGAGGAAAATCTCTTTATACCTTCATGCAGAAGAGCCCTCTGCTAGAAGAGGAACCCGGGTTCCCTTCTCTACCTACCGGATCGCCCCAGTCCTTTCTTTCCCTCTGGGCTAACAGGAGGGGCCTCCCCTCCCAAGTCGGGGCTTGGCGGGCTGGCAGCTCCCCCGCCCCCACCCAGCTGCCTGGGCGCCACTGCGCAGCTGTCCCACTCCGTTGCCATGGCAACTGGCAGCCGTACTCGACTAAGGGGGGGAAAGCAAACGGAAAAGTTAAATGGCTTAACTTTCCCTTTCAGCGAGGACTAGGTGGAGGCCCTGGAAGGTACCTCCCTTGGCCTCGAGGCTTGGCATTCAGGGCTCAAGGGAATGGGTCCTTGGGTTTTCAATCCAAAACCTGGGTTTATTCTTTTAAGAGCACTGGGAATTAATCAATAGCATTTTAAGATCCTCTAACAGGATTAGAGCTTACTAAAAGGGGGAGGGGACAGGCTAGATCCTTCTACAACAAGATCAGTACAAACCATCCACCCCTTAATCCAGCCCACCAGCAGCACTTTAAACAAGGCATTTTCTACCATCTGTCACAGAACAGTTCATTTACAATGCCTGAGTGTATGTCCCTGGGGTTTTGGGTTGGGGTGGCGCAACAACAGGAAGGGGGGGAGGGAAGTATCCCAAAGGTACCACGCAACTTTCCTTCTTTGGGAGATGACTGGATACAGAATCTGGAAGCATTACCAAAGAACCTTTCAACTGAAATCACAGGAAAAAAATTTAATTCTTTAGTTTAATAAAAGGGAGGAGAGAGCCAGTCCAGTTGTTAGGGGGAAAAGGATGTCACAATCATTACTGCTAAATTAAAAACACTTCTCGTTAGTTTGTTCTTATTATGAAACAATTTTTAATGATTATTACCCAAGTGAAGCATTAATATATAATTTTAAGCTGCATATATCAACAATCCCTAGTACTTGTGAAAATGAAGACAGCAATTAAGAGATAGAGACTTAGAGTTTTCATAAATTTTCCTTTCTGCTGGTTCTAAAATTATATGAGCTCCAAAACCCTGTTCTGCTTTACAGATCCAGGTTTTTAGAGACAAAGGTACCTTGCTGCAAGAGTGGAAGAAAAAGGAACAATCAAAATCAAAGAAACTGACTGAGAAAAAAGCAGAAATTGGCTATTAGTTTAAGGAGAAACTATAGGGTATGATGAAAGCAAAGTAGACATTTTCAATTATAGAGGATTATCTTTACACCAGGAAATCTTAAGAGTGGAAATCCTGGAGTAAAAACTGCTTTTTCAACTCCTAACTTTTTTTAAAAAAAGATTTATTTTATTTATACAAGAACTGGGGTACAGGCCAGAGGCGTGGGAGGGTGAGAGAATTAACCAGCGACAGAGTGGGGAACAGAACAGGCACACGACCAAAAACAGTGCTGAGGGAGCAGCGGGCGAGACAGGAGAGGTCTGCCGTGCCATGTGGGTATCTCCCTGGCTGGCCGGGAATCGAACACACACTACAGAGGCTGAGGACAGCTTCACAGCGCGGCGTTCAACCCACTGCGCCACCGGAGAGGCCCCGACGCCTAATTTTTAAAAAAGAAAACTTTGTGTAGTTAAAGGATATGAAAACAATGTCAAAGAAATTAGATCAGGGTTCCAATTCTGTGATTAACTTACAATACGCGATACTGAGCAAATAAATTTTAGATATAACCTCAGAATCACTAAAATGGGCCAAGTAGACCTCTACTGCTACCACCTAGTGAAAGAGTAAGTTTATGTTGAAACCAAAGAGCTGTTAAGTCCCCCAAAGAGAAGCGTTTATAGAAATATCATGGGGTCGAATACAACAGCAGCAGGAAATATGCAACTTTCCAAATTCCTAAGCCCTCAAACCATATCACACGCAGTAACTCCTGCAGTGTAACATGCTAGGAGAGAGCAATAAAAGGAAGAGTATCTTTGTTAACTAGTTTCCAATAAAACAATAAACTTTCAGAGACCAGCAGTTAACCTCTCTCAAAAGTAAATACTTAATTCTTATTCCTTAAAACTCAAAATTAACAATGGAGACCACAGAATGAAAGGATTAATAGTAATTCTATAAAGGCATAAAACTTTTTTGGAGGGGAGGAAGGGGGGAGTGAATCAATGAGGAATGGGACAAAAATATTCCAGAGTCTATCCCTCTTTCTACATCAGGAAATAGAGCTATTCCATCCTTTCCACCCTTAAGAACTGCTTAAAAAGCACAAGACTGCGGCCCCTTTCTCTTCGGGAAATGGATTTTGTAACAGCTGACAAATCAAATTGGGCCTGATGCCAGGAGTCAGAGTCCAACCATAATATTCTGTAAAGAATGGCATGCAATTGTCTTGTAAATCTCCTGGACAGTCACAGATCAGAAGCTGGCAAGGATGACGACATAGTTCTGATGGAATGTGTCTTATCTTAACCTTGAAGTTACAGATCTGCTCAGGAGCAGCAGTAAGAAATGAGAAATGCACTCAGACATCGGAGGGGACATAATTCTCTTTTAGACAGTGCGACCCAGTGTATTAGGGTCAAATGAAACACAAAGCCAGACGGACAATTTAAGAGCTAGAGACTGGACCAGATAAAGCATAAAGACTGGTGGTTCCCACTAAGCTTGGGAGGGAGCGTTCCAGCATGAGAAATGAGACATGGCTGGCAGGATGATGGAGTGATTAAGGCAGAATCCCGATACCATGACGGAGGAGCAGAGGATGAGTCTCTGAGCGCAAACTTATCCTTGTGGAAATCTCCACGGGAAGGGGTGAGCAGCTTCTCAAGTTTCTAGAGAGTCTTTCAGGCATAACAGCTCAGTCCTGTCTTGAATAGACACAGGAACTTGCTGGGAAATGCATCAACAACTGTAGATAGATTCCAGCAATTTAAATGCCCATCAGGACGTGAGACAAGAGGCAAATTCACCTTTACAGGCCTCTGAATGCTGGGGGAAAAACACCTAAACCCGGGATCTGGTGAGAAGTCAGTGTTGGAAAAACATCAAAGAGCTCTGCGGTCAGGCACAGTCAGAACCCACATTCCAAATCGCTGACAGGAGACTTCTTTAACAGATGAATCTTCCCGAGGGGAGGGAAAAAAAGGGAAGAGGTGAGGAGGTGAAGCAGAAAGAAGGGGGACCAAAAAAACACATTCTAAGGGTAAAAGAAAAATGTGTAAAAACTGCCTGTTCTCAGAAATTAGAGGGCAACACAGCAAGCTGGGGCAATCTAGGGGGACAACGGATGTAATGGGTTAGCTATTTGCAGTACCCAATAAATTAAGGAACCGAAGAACCACCCGCAAGGGGTCCCTAGTATGTCTGCTCTGTCCAGTTCACGTTCTCCCGTAATCCCTCCAGTCACTACTTTTCAATGCCAGCTGTCTTGGTGGCTTTTCTTAGATCTTAGCGTAGCACATTCTATTTTCATCACTACTCACAAGCAAAAATACACATCCAACATAGTTCTGAATCTTTCTCTAAGCTTTCTTTGTATTGTTTAGAAAGGAATGAAAACCAAACTGCAATGTAATTTGCCTCACTGACCTATTTGAAGGTGGTAGAACAAATGCTAAAATGCATAATCAATGCGATCTTTCTTCATTTTAGTTTCAGTATCAATTCCATAAGCCCGCTTAAAAGGCAAAATCATCCAGAAAAAAAGCCAGGCTCAAGAGCAGAAAAGGGCGAGGGTGGATGCAAAGCTCCCTATCACATGTATTGATTAAAAAGGGACTAATGGGTGAATTTGGTAGGGGGCTTGAGAACCCCCCCCCCAGGGCCCTTGGGGAAAGCCGGTGCCTTAGGTGGAGGTAAAATTGTCAGCTACAGCAAGCAGCATTGTCTTCTAGGCATCCTCGCTATAGCCTCATGGTAGCGAATAAAGCAGATGAAAAGAAACCATATTTACAGAACCATCTTAATCTGGTCTGTGTTCCTTACTCTTGAAGGATCTAGAAATACCAAGTTTTAGGTTTGTAACACATACAGCATAAAATTAAAATACTCTCTAGAGAGATGCTTTCTCCCACCAGATTTACGATTTCCAAAGTATTACCCATGTGGCATTTTAACAAAAACACAGCAAAGAGATGCACATTTACAGCTGTCCTGGCTGTCTCAGGTTTTGTTAAATGGGTGATAACTATCATTCCACCTCCACCAAAAGCCCATGAGCACCCAATTCAAGAGTTAAAAGCTTTTTAAATGTCTATTTAAGAGACTGGATTAGGAAAGAGCTGAGGAGGAAGATTAACTGTGGTCGTTAACACCCCTATCATTAACACGCCACATATAGACAACACAAACTTTATTAATAGAGAGGAGTGTGAGAAAGGAAATGCTCTCCCTTTGGCTAACACAGCTCCAGTTCGCGATCCTTTAAAAACCAGGCCAAAGCACTTTTTCAACCAGCCACAAAAATATTCTGGGGCGAACTATCCTGTTTGCTGATCATCCAAGTCTCCTGTTTGTGACATTAAAACATACACATTATAAATAGAGATAAACTTTAACTTATAAACTTGTATTTGGCTATATGATCCTCAAACTCTGACCACCATTGAAAAATACACATAAATGTGTACCACAGGACTCAATTCTCAGAACTGTTCTGATTTATAAACCCAGCTGAGTGGTATATTTAGCAGTCACACGGGTTCTTGAAATCTCATTACCAGACCACAATCCCACAAACTAATGATTTTATATGGGATTTGTGGGTTTTTTTGCTTGATTAAAATCTACTCAATTTCTTCTCTCAAGGGTCAATCTTTTTTAAGTTTAGTTAGGCACACCTAAACCCATCATCAGGCAAGAGATTAGATATCCAACTGTTGCAAGATTTATGAGAAAGTAGAATTTGGCACCACTATGGAAAAATGTCTTCCAGATGGAGCTTTCCAGCAAGTCCATCCCTGGAATGTACAGCCTCCTCTCAAGGCACTACCATCTCAGGTGGGTGTTAACGTCAACCCACGCCTCTCGTAATTAAACGTGGTGAAGCATCAACTAGTAGATTCTGTCACCTTTCAAGA